TTACTGCATTGAAGGATTATGAGGTCTCCTCCAAGCAAGCGTACGGCTATGTCTCATGGGCGTTCTCATTAGAGTCAGATGTGTGTCTCTGCAACACAGGGGTCATTATTTATCACTCACTTATGTGTGCCTTCATTGTGTCTTATACAATGCAATACACAGCACCACGTAGCAAATAGCAATTTCTTGTCGAAATTCCAAAATTTTCAGACTTTTGAAAAAGTCAGAGTTTCGGAGGTCTCCGAAGCGATATGCCAAACGAGGATCACAAAGAGCCAGACAACACAACCAATGCCAAAACACTGAGATCAGATACGCTCGTAAAGATTGATCAAGAGACGTTTTCAGACATGAACACACGATAGGAACTTAATTCACAACACATCTCTGTTTCCAATATAATACATCCCCGCCGGCACAAAATAGATCACTGAGCAGGCAGATTGCGCAGACTTGTGAGGTCAACGCTTCATGTGTGAAAACCATCGCAACAGAAAGATACGTTAAAGATTACCTTCCACATGGAGAACCGAGCACATGCAGGTTTGATTTTTTTTCTCCAAATATTCTGAAGCCAAGGAGCTCAGCCAATTCGCCACACATGTCGATATTGATCTCTTTATTGTCTCCAATTCATGAACTCCCTCAGTATTATATATTGATGATGGGTGGCTATTCTTCTGTATATTATTCAGCTGTACTACACTCTTTATAGAAATATTTGTAGTGCCCACAGTATTTCCACATTGCTTGCATCGTACACGGGGATGAATAGGATACTTTTAAGGCGTGGAAAACTGAATAATTCCTGTAGATGTACTCTGTGAAGAACTGGAGAACAAAAGTAGGGCCAAATGTCATCCAGTGCTAAGATACAAAGACTCTTGCAAGGGGGAACTGACCTTAACCGAGATCAGCCTTTAAACTTTTGAACAGACGGCAGAAGACCGCAACAGATGGACGAATGCCATAGATGTTGCTCTCACAATTAAAGAGAAAGACGAAGCAGCAAATGTCTGTATGCCCCACCTGAAGAAACACAAGACACCCATACAGATTGCTGATCCTTTGCGTGTGCTTATTGCAGCTGACATTTTCTGCCACTCATTCGCATCTTCCCCATCCACCATTTTGAAACATAAAGAAAAATCATACACAACACAAGCACAAACATTTTGTTGCGATGGAACACTGCCAGCAAGATCTCTCACTCTTCAATGAACTTACTGCGTTGTATACCCTTATGTCTATCGTCATTGGCTAACTTTACTAACCAGCACCAACGCCTTACAATCTGACACAGTACCACGCTCTGAGTGTACGCGTTTATCTCAGGTGCCCAAATGCCTAAGGAAGAACAACATTTTTCAGGAGTAGCCTACCGTATCACTCCCTCAAAGACGTTTGAACAGTACCTTCGGACAGTCGGAAACCATCACTCACGAATTAGATTTTTGATCCAGTCCAGCATTTTTCTAATGCATGACGCATCATCAAATACCTTCCAAACCCTCATAACATTTCATATTTAGGGACTATGGATAAATCCCTGATGCCAATATGTGAAAAAGAGACTGGATCACTCAATAAAAAACGTACTGTGTGTAAATTTGTGAATTTCCCTTCCGCCTCAAACTCGGGGAGAGGAAACATTTGTCGGCAACATAGATATAACCACTCAATAACAGACGTCCTGTTTGCAAATGTAGGTACTGATGACGTGGTGTGATTCCTTAGAATCACCCAGTAAAAGTATGTAGGGTAGGTGTTTTCAATATCACTTGACCCTCCACTACATGACAGGCAGCCATTATTGGCCTCCTGCAATATCACTCTCTGACAGGGGTTGTCCGCTTTTGGTTTGTTTCAAGGACGTCCAACTAGGAGAGGGACATTTCCATTTGCCATTTCTGGCTAACAGTATAACTCACTAACAGCTAGACACCCTGTGCGTGCACGCAATATACATAATTTATTCCCTACTAGGCCGATGATGTGTCCTGGTGATCACGTGACCTCATCCGTGTCACAGACACCGGTGCTCGTCCACAATCCTCTCACACGTTTTACAGCGCACGCTGCAGCACCAGTGGAACTTGCACTTGCACCTCTCCACGACCTTGACCTGTCGGGTCACGAAGCCCCGCCCACAACACATGAGGTCGCAGCCGTCGATGGCTTTGGAGTTCTTGTTACACAAGCGTCCGTGCGTCCCCAGGGAGCCAGTCTTGCGGTCCGCCTCGCAGAAATCCGGTGACGCTTCCATGTAGACTAGATCCTGGTCGGTGTGCGGTTTAAACTGCGAGTTCAAGGGCACGAGCTCGTGTCTGGAGGGTACGTGTTTGACCTCGGTGGCGCCGTCGAATTTCTCTTTCAGGATGGCCCCCACGTCGGAGAAGATAGGAATGGCTCGCCAGCAGGTTCTCAGCTCACAGGATCCTGAGACGCCATGACACTTGCAGTCCAGCCGCATGTTGTCTCTGATGGCCTGTGGTGGGTT